GGTTGTCTGCAGTTGTAGCAGAGAAGCTCTCCACTAGTATATGAAGACTTGGTCTTCTGGAATGGTTTTCTGCTGGCAGATGGACTTCTTCCATCTTTTGGTTTCTTCATGAATTTCTTGAACCTTCTGGCAAAAGCAGCCATATATTCGTCAGACAATAATATAGAAGGGTCAAAATCATTTACCTTAGATGTACTCGCAGTGAGAGCTGTAGTATTCCTCTCTTCTGGTACGTCTTCCTTTTCTTCAATCATCTCGAACTCATGACCGTTGAGGTCTGAGATGAGTTTGTCAGTTGGATAGGTCTTCACATCCTTGCTTGCTTGAACTGCAACCACCTTCATCTTCCATGTCGAGGGCAGACCTCTCAACACTTTGAGGTTGATCTCCTTGGTGGTGAGTTCGTTGCCAAGTTCAGAAATCTCTCCAATGAGAGTAAGAAGTCTTTCATACATCTTGGAGATGCTTTCACCAGGGAGAAGTTTGAAGTAATCAAACTTCTTGTTGGCTATTGTTAGCTTGTTGTCCTTCTCTTGCTCATCACCAGCTCCAATGAGCTCAAGAGTATCCCAGATTTCCTTTGCAGTTTTGCACTTCTTGATTCTGTTGAAGTATCTATTATCAATGGACTTGTAGAGGATGTCCTTTGCAATGTTGTCCATATTGTATTTTCTTCTTTCTTCAGTAGTCCACTCAGATTTGGCTTTGTTGATCATTTGTGGCATTGTGTTGTCAATGGCATGCTCAGGATTCACCTTCTGGAAGTTGGTGAATGGCCCTATGTCAAGTACTTCCCACATCTCATCATGAAGAGCACAGAGCTGTGCCTTCATCCAGATTCCCAATCATCAAACTTAAGATCTGAAAACATAAGATTCTTGGAAAGAGAGTGATCCATTAAAAAAGATTACTACAGAGGCTAAAAAGAAGCAAGTGGATCTTTGTTCAGCAAGTAACCTAAGAGATTACAAGAACAAGGAGACTCTGATGCCACTTGTTGATCCCGGTTGTACTGGGTACAGTCTAGGGGGGTGAATAGACTGTACCGATTTTTAACTTTTTCAAGCTAAGTACCAAATTTGACAGAATAGCCTGTTCTGAAGGTAGAACAGACTGGCAGCAGATGGTATTCTAGTAGGGGTTCTGTCTGGTTAGCCTCTAAGAGATGCAAAGGCAATAGGCCTTCTTTTAACTCACAGGACGGGTTCTGTTGAACACAGAGACCAAGTTTGTGGAGTTAAACAAATTAAAGTAAATGCTAGAATTAAATGCAGAAAGTAAATGACACCGGAGATTTTTATAGTGGTTCAAGGAACAACTCGTTCCTCTAATCCACTGTTCCACTAAGCTTGTAAAAACGACAATTTACAACGCCTTAGTCCTAGCACTTAAGAAGCTCTCCACGTCTTCTTCAAGTCTAGATGTCTCCTGGGATGCACTTTCTGGCTTCCCTTAAGACGAGTCCTTTCATTGAGCTTCCTTGAAGTATTCCCACTTCACTACTCCAGTTACTTAGACGTCCTTCTCGTTAGAGAAGAGTTCTTGTAAGAACAGGGGTTTTCCAACTTGATTTGTCACAAAAGATATGATGATGAAGTGTTGAAGAACAAGGAACTTTGCTCTTTGTTGGAATATGAAGATAGGAAAATATTATCTTTCCAACTGAAGCTTTTCTTGTTGAGGATGATGAAGTTCTGGTCTCAAGAAAGCTTGTTGTTTGAATAGGTTGTTTGAGTAAGGTATTGAGCAAGAGTTGTGCAAATTATCAGGTTGTTCTTCGTGTAGTATCTTTTATACTGGGGTTGTCTTCCCGTTGAATGAGGAGGACAACTGCATTAAATGCACGAACAGTTGACTTGACCAGTAGGACCCGGTAAAATTGGCGAGTTGCTATTTTGGGATAAAGATATCCTGAAATGTCGACCAATCATCAGCTTTTACTCTTCAGCGTACGGGGCTCATTAAATGAGCATTTAATGCACGTACTGTAGCTTTCCGTTGAGGTCTTCTAGCCGTTGAAGGAATCTTTCGTTGGTTTCACCGGCTAAGGTAGATTCATGGAAATTCTATAAGTGTCAGACCTTCTGATATCTTTAGCAGAGAACCGACTAGAGAGGGTCTCGAGCACTTCTGTTGGGATAAAAGCTACCAGAGGGTTCATAGTCCTTCTGTCAACGTAGGAGCTAACAGAGACCCTTGAGTACTTCTGTTAAATTGAAGTCCAACAGAGAACCAGGAGGTCTTCTTTCCGGATATGAACCAACAGAGAGCCAAAGATCTTCTGTCCAGACTAAGTCTAACAGAGGGTCTTCTGTCAGTCGACTATACTAAGAATGCTCTTACAAGGAAAATTCTAATACAAATTTCTAAAGAGGGGTACTCTAAAATCCTAATTAATATAACATCATGAAAATCTAATTACATTTATTCCTTACACAAAGCCCTCGCTATTGGCGTGCCCACCCCGGCACAAGTTGAAGCAAAGGAAAAAGAGGTCAAGGCTCGGCTCCACACCCCGGGTCCAGCACAGATACAAAAACCGGCAAGATACGAGTGACGGTTCGGCATCAGCTGACAATGGCGCGGACACCGAAGGCCTGACGCCACTGACAATATGTGAAATGCAAAACAACCTTCGGGAGGACGAGACAACACACCATCACGCCCAAGCTTTACCACAAATGCCAAAGGTGGGTCGTAGACTTGGGTCACATGGTAATCACCTTCATGAGCCGTCGTCTCCAGCACGAGGGCGGCGGTGTTGAGGAAGGAATGTCCCTCGGGTGTTCCGATAGGATGATCATCATATACACCTTCTTGCTTACGTCTCGGCGACCCTTTAACGCGCTTCTTCTTCACCGGAGCAACCCGAAGAGGCTCTGGGCAATGGGTTGGGAAGTACCGACTTCCTCTACTTTCGCTGAAGGGAGAGCAACAACAATGCAACCCTCGGGTCACCATGCATTACTATTATTATTACTATTTGATAGATAGTCTATACCCTTCAGTCCGAACATGCCTTCGGCCTCATGGAGTGGGGGACTGGGGGACCCCTTCGGTGAAAAATGAAAAAATGTCAAAATTAATTCACTAATATCAACAACGACAAGGCAACCTCTGAGAAAATCATAGAACTACTCCCCTTTCCCGCGAGAAGCTCTCAACAAAGGGAGTGGGGAACTCCTGATGGAGTATATGGCATGGGGACCCCGACCTACATACTCCCGCAACCTCAAACGGGCCCGATAGCGCCCGGTCGGCCAAAATACATCAGCCCAAGCACCATGCAATCCATATCTCACAGGGGATGCCTTCGGCACCATGGCCAAAGGCCTCAAACTCAGGGAAACCACTCCATTTCGGTCCAACAGCACGCCTGAAAAATTGGGTCTCGAGCATCAACCTTCGGCCAAACAGCCTTCGGCCCCGACACCGAAGGCCCCCATTCTCGACAGAAACTTCTCGACTTAGTGTCCAACCACCGCATTTAATGCGGTGCCACGTGCCAGCACCCGTAAAGCCGGGGGGGGGGGGGGGGGGGGGTCTCCGCCATAGACTAGCTTACACGTGTGCGTGCATTTAATGCACCTATCATTTATGACTAGTATAAATAGCGTCCCTTGAACGGTTGTAACAGAGAACTCAGAATTTATTGCTACTACACTTCCTCTCTATTACTTATTGCTCTGACTTCTTTCATATACCACTAGCGGTATTCTGGTATAGACTATCTATCAAATAGTAATAATAATAGTAATAATAATAATAATTGCAATAATAACAGTAATAATAATAGTAACAACAACAACAATAAAAGTAATAATAATAATCATAATAATAATAAGGAAAAATTGGTTGTAATGATCCCAACTATTGACAGCTCGCTTATAATAATCCCAATTATCGATTATCTCAGAATAATCTCAACTTTAGTGACCTTCCGCCAATAATGGTCCATGACCAGATATGACCTGCTATAATAAGTGAATTTTAAATAGAAATAAAGCATAAAAATTAAAAGTTGAATTATTTATAGGGATTACTTGTTATATCTCTTCTCACCCACTTTAGAAACTATATGAATTTATTTATAGCCGGTCATGTCGGACCATTATTGGCGAAATGTCACTAAAGTTGGGATTATTCTGAGATAATCGATAGTTGAGATTATTATAAGCGGACCGCCAATAGCTGAGATTATTATAATCAATTTTTTCTAATAATAATCATAACAATCATATATAACAATAATAATCATAATAGTAGTAATAATAATAGTAGTGACCACAACAACAACAATAATATTATTGTTATTAATATAATAACAATCATAATAATAATAATAATTATTATTATTATTATTATAAAAGTGATAAATCATGTTTGAATTTTTATGATTTGATCTAATCTAAATGCTTCTGATTTGATCTGATTTGAATCTTTGTGATCTGATCTGATTTGAATCCTTTTTATCTGATCTGAATTATATTTCTTTAATCCAAATAAAATAAGAATAAACATTGATCCAGGAGCCCCCGCCCCGATCCGACAGGATGGTGGGGAGGTTGTCACGGTGGCTCAACCATCAAAGAAGCGGTAGGCCCATACATCCGTGCACACCAGACGGCAGAGTGTCCAGCCTTATTTCCAGTGCTTATACCGTGGAATCGGTGCATGGTGAGCACCATGCACCCTTTGTTATTTTTTTATTTCTCCTTTTCTTAAAATTGTTAATAATATTTTTATTTTTGATTTGATTTTTATAAAATTTATACCAATTTTTTTTATTTTTCATGATCTTTCAAATGAGATCAATATTGCCTATGTAATTTTAATTTTTTAAATTTCGCCTTATTTCAGGTTCAAGAGACCTCTACCCGTTGGCTGCGGAAATCGAATATTCATCCATTTATCCAAATCTCCCGCCCCTCGACTAACTGAGTTATTTGGGTTGTGGCCCTTAAAATAAGAATAAATATAGTAATAATAGGGAAATAAGAATAAAATCGAAGAAACGATAGCAAATAAACGCTGATCCCGTAAACAACAAGCCCGGGAGTCTGGATTCTGGAATCCCTAGTTAGAGCCCTTCTCTCGTCAATTTTTAGACACTATTGGGATTATACTGGACGTCGGTTACTGGCTGTCCTTTCAGAGACCTTTTTCCATTGTAATTCACGGCAAGGTATCAACCCCATCCATAACTATCAACGAACACAACTCAAGGACAAAACAGATCAAAAGTCTGCACCTTTGTGAAGTAATGGCTCTGGCGGCTTATGGGCAGCTGAATCTGGACGAGGCTCCGGTTTGGGGATCTCGAAGCGTGGATTGCTTTGAAAAGCTGGAACAAATCGGAGAAGGCACTTACGGGTCAGCTTTTACCCTTTGTTTTACTAATGAAAGCTGTGAGATTCTAATTCCTTTGATTTCATGTGTTTTTTTATGTACCAAATTGAGATTGGATATACTCCGTATTAACTTTCTGATTTTTTATGTTTCTTTTGAGTATTCCTTTGATTTCATATTTGCTCGCTTTCACTCTATTTTCATTTACAAAATATGACTGCTGGGCGGATGAATTGATGAAGTAACTAATGGCTGGGGTATAATAAGCTTTCACCTGATGCAGGATGTCAATTTTGGCTCAATATCTACCAGTACGTAGTAATATACGTTTTTATTTAGGGGGACACATACAATAATTAATAGATCATGCTGCTACATTATTGTGCAACATTGTTATGAAAAATTGGGACACAAATAGGTCTATCCCTTTATACTATATGATTATGTTCTACAAAAAGATATTTTATTTCAAACGGATTAGGTTCTCTTTGTTTCTCTTACTCTAAAAATGTAATGACTTTAAATACTACAATAACAACCTCAAGACTTATTTCTAAAAGAGCCTGGGGTCGGTTAACATGAATAGATGTCATTGTTTGTAATTGCGCAATGCAATTGCGCCTCATGGCGCGCCTCAGCTATTTTGTGGACTATGGCGTAAGGCATTGCCTATGGCATTGGAAATGTGGCGTGCACAATATTGCATTGAGGCGTACGCAATATTGCATACACAATAAGGCGTTGAGAGGCATATGCAATAGGAGATCAAGGTGTAAGGGTTTTATTTGGGTCCGCTTGGACCACTTTTTAATTTTTTAAAATGATATTATGATCCCTATTTCCAAGTTCAAGCCACTAGATATTGATGATTTAATTTTTTAGTTATCAATCTAATAAACTTAAAATTTCATACATTAGGAATTTTGTTTTGATGAACTGTTCAATAATTTTTGGTATTCTGTGGTACTTTAAACGCATTACTTTTCTAGGATTACGGCCTTTTATAGTTTTTTTAATATGACTTTTGATGTATAAGTTTCATTTTTTATTATGTTTATACATGTTTACATACATACACACACACACAAACACACACACATATATAACGCCTCATGCATACGCCTCAGCGCGTATTGAGGCTAACGTAATATGCAATATTAAAAAAATGCCACGACTACGCAATAAGCAATTTCGAACAACTAAAAGCATTAGATAGAGAAAGAGGGTGACAAACAACACAAGATCAATCTTTCACATATATCATGTATGCTCTCCTTTGCACCACGCCCTCTAACAACATCATACTCTCATATAACCCAAGCAGTATCACATCATTCTTGATCACTTTAATCCACGTCTTTCTAGGTCGTACGTCTCTCTACCCTTCTCTCCCCACTTCTCAATTTGTCTAAGAGGTATATCACTTGGCCTTTTACAAATATGATCAAACCACCGCAACCGAGACTCTCACACGGTCACACCTAATCTTCAATAGGTGTTACTTCTACTTTTCAGCTAATTAATAGAATTCAGAGATAGAGAGAATGATGAATGTAATGATTTCACTAATCAACTCAAGCAAGAGTACAAAGTATTTATAGAGATAGCTACAACTCAACTAAACGAACCAACTAACTGAATACTAACTGACTTAAAGTCATTACAAACGATGTATTATATCTAACATTCCCCCCTTAAACTCAGGGTGATGAAGCTGAAGGAGTAGTCACACCGAGTTTGGTCCTTAAGTCAATGAAAGAAGAAGCAAACAAGGGCTTAGTCAAAATATCAGCTAGTTGGTGTTGAGCAGGAATGTGAAACACTTGCAGTTGCTTGAGTTGGACTTTCTCTCGTACAAAGAATAGATCAATCTCCATGTGCTTTATGCGAGAGTGTAGGACATGATTATGAGCCAGTTGAACAGTGCTTAGATTGTCACAATAGATTCTTGGAGTTGAAAAAGGGACTTGGAGTTCATGAAGGAGGAACTAAACCCATAGAAGTTCTGCTGCAGTATCAGCCAAGCTTCTATACTCAACTTCTGCTAAGGATCTTGCAACACGCAACTGTTTCTTGGACCACCAAGAAATGATGTTTGGACCAAGAAAAGTACAAGAACCTGATGTAGACCTTCTGTCAGTAGGATCAGAGGCCCAAATGCCCAATCAGCATCATAAAATGCCGAAATGGGTAGAGGCATAGTGGATAGAGGGATGGGTTTTATAATAATTCCATGAGTAGTGGTGCTAGAAAGATAGCGTAGTATATGTTTCACTGCTTTCCAGTGATCATGTAGAGGTGCAGCCATGAATTGACATACCTTGTTGACAGCATAGCTTATCTCAGGTCTGGTTAAGGTAGCATATTGCAGGATCCTACTATAGATTTGTATTGAGAAGGATACCAGCTTGATTGAGTAAATCTCTGATATATTCTGCTTGAGAAAGGTGTAGGTTGCCATCTAAAAGTTTCTAAACCTGGATTCCTAAAAAGAAATCAATGTCTCCCAAGTTTTTGAGAAGGAGGAATTCAGCTTATTAACGAGCTTATGAATTGCTGGGGGATTGTTTCCAATGACAAGGATGTCATCAACATAGATTAGAACATATATGAGCACTCCAGAAGATGTAAAGAGAAGCAAAGAAGGATCACACTTGCTTTGCTTGAAACTTGCACTGTAAAGGACTGTTGTCAGCTTGTGAAACCAGGATCTAGGGGCCTGTTTGAGGCCATATAAAGATTTGTGAAGCCTTCAAACTAAAGATGTGTCTTCTGCTTCAAAGCCTGAGGGTTGTACCATATAAACTTCTTCATTCAAATCCCCATTAAGAAAAGCATTGTTGACATCTAACCGTTGAATGGACCACTGGTGGGAGACAGCAAGAGTAAGAAGAATTCTGATAGTAATAGGCTTGACAAATGACAACTGGAGAAAAGGTTTCTCCAAAGTCAAAACCAATCTTCTGATGAAAACCTTTGGCAATTAATCTTGCTTTGAATTTGTTTAAGGAACCATCTGAATTTTCCTTTACCCTGAACACCCATTTGCAGCCTATAGCCTGTTTATCTGGAGGAAGAGGAACTAAAGACCATGTGTGGTTAGAAATCAGTGCATCATAATTTTATAGCAGCAAACCATTGAGGAGAGGATAGTGCATGCTTAACTGATCTGGGCTCAACATGAGCTAATAGTAACTTAGTAAGGTAGGATTAAGTCTAGGTTTTACAATTCCAGATTTAGCTCTAGTTTTCATGGGGTGAGTGTTAGTCAGAGGAATAAGTGAAGAAGAAGATAAGGAAGAAGATGAGGAAGAGTTGGACAGAGAGTGAGATGGTGAATTATTCTGGGAATGAGTTTCTGGATGAGAAGAGTCAGATTGCAGGTGAGGGTGTGTAGAGACTGATTTAGTGGAACCCGATTGAGATGAAGAATTATTATTTGAAGGTGTGGATGAGTTTGATTGAGACAAATCAGAAGAAAGTGAATCAGAATTGGTTTGAAGTATGGTGATGGGAACAGACTGTGGATGAGGTCCAAGGATAGAAGGGCTGGCAGATGCCCAAGCAACAGTAGGTACAAGATTTTGGTTCCAGTTTGCTTGAGATGTGTAAGGATTGGGTAGAGGGTTGGAAGAAGATTGAGGTGTCTGGTAGAAGTGATTAGGTGATTGAGATGAGGAGTGACTCCAGTTCTGATTTTCTGGAAAGTGTGGTTGTATATTGTTCTGAGGTAACCTTGGTTGAGATGAAAGGTATGGAGGCTGAGAGGTTTGTGGATGGATTTGTCGAGTATAGAATGATTAGGAAGCACCAGGCATAGAGACATTGTATGCAGGATTATACCTGTGGTAACATACCAAAGCACTATGACCAGTTTTGCCACAGACTTGGCAAACAACTGAACTGCGACCTCCAAAGCGACCTCCTCGCCCTCTGAAGGGTCCTCCACGACCTCTAACAACATTAGCTGAAAACAGATTTTGCTGTGAAGATTCACGTTGTTTTCTGGCTCGAAGTTCCTTAGCTAGCAACAAACCTTCGAGTTCAGAGAGAGTGATGGGATCGAGAATGCTTCTGGAAGAAATAGATGAAACAAGAGCTTTGTACTCTTCAGGAAGGCCTTCGAGGATCACATTCATGTGATCCTTAGGAGAAATAGATTCTCCTACAGATGTGAGGTTGTCAAGAATGCTTTGAATATGCAAAAGATACTCAGTAATAGGTCGATCATCTTTGCTGGTATTATAGAGTTCGGATTTGAGTTGACGAGCTCGTGCGATGATGTGCGACTTGAAGAATTTATGAATCTTGCTCCAGAGTTCGTACGAGTGTCTGCACTGAATAACACGAGCATGAAGTGATTCAGTGAGTGATGCGAGAATCCAAGAGAATAGCATATGATCTTGCTGCTCCCATATAGTGCACTCTTCGTTTAGTGTAGTCTTGCCATCATTGTCGTCGATGAATTGTTCAGGAATTTTTGGTTTTTCAACAAATTTCAGAAGTTTATGTGCTCGCATAACAGATTCGAAATGGTGCTTCCAAAACAGAAAATTATTTGAGTCAAGTTTGATCGGAAGAGGATGATTAAGAATCACCGGAAGAATAGAGCTTCCATTAATCGAAGAAGAAGTGGATGAAGAATTCACCATGGTTGGATCGAGCTTAGAGCTCTGATACCATAATAGAATTCAGAGATAGAGAGAATGATGAATGTAATGATTTCACTAATCAACTCAAGCAAGAGTACAGAGTATTTATAGAGATAGCTACAGCTCAACTAAACGAACCAAGAACTGAATACTAACTGACTTAAAGTCATTACAAACGATGTGTTATATCTAACACTAACCATCTGTTAGGAACCCTCTTATATTAGACTAATAATAGAAGTATTAATGAGAATATTAGCAATGGGTATTTGAGGTATTGTATAGTATAAATAGACGGGAAGTTGGGAATAGTAAGGAGGCTGTTTTTAGACTTTGACTTTGGGACTTTGGGAGATCGAGAACTATTCTCCTTCTTTGGGGGGCTTCGGCTCAACTGGGGGCTTCGGCCATTTGTTCTGGTTCATCTTCAATACAGTTTTCTTGAATTGTTCCTCTAATTTCTGTTCATCTTTCCCGTAATATTTCTGTGAATCTGGGCATCCCTAACATTGGTATCAGAGCCTTACTTCCTGGAGACGGAGAATCTGAAGCATGGAGGAGGATTTCTACATGACACCTAAAATGGAAGAGAGTTTTGATAATATTGACCGACTAATGAGGGAGTCAAACGCTAGGTTAGCGACGATGATGGCTGATATGCAAGCGACGATGCAAGCTGGCATCGCAGAATTGCAGAACCGACTTCAAAGTCGTTCGCGACATACATCGCACCATTCTCACCCTTCGCATAGGTCGCACCATACTTCGCACAAGGGACGTCCAAGAAATTCCGACCACGGAGAGCATGGCAACAACGAACTTCGAGCTAGGAGCCCTAGATATCGTTCGTCGCAGTCGCTCACAAGTTCGCAGGCTGAGTCGCGAACTACTTCTCTTGACTCGCAATCGCGAACTTCTTGTCACTGTTCACAGTCGCAAACAGTTTCTTTCAGTTCGCAGGCTGAGTCGCGAACTACTTCTCTTGACTCGCAATCGCGAACTTCTTGTCACTGTTCACAGTCGCAAACAGTTTCTTTCAGTTCGCAGACTTCCTCACCAGCCATCCATTCACTTCCAAGAAAGACGCGAGTGAGAGGACCTCTGGCTTCTAGGAAAACAGAAGACCCCATTTCGAAATATCCCTCTGAGTCCCCTGAATTGCTTCAGGAGTTGACTAATCAGCAGAATGGTGACAAGAAAAACAAGAAGAAATCATCAGATAACTTTGAACATGAAGCCGATGCCGTTGCTGAACTCACCAGAGGTTGTCAGTCATCAAAGATTACGTTAATTGGAATGAACACTTCTGATAGCCTTAGAGTGGAAAGGGTTACTTCTAGGAAGAATTTTCAAAAAGAATTGGTGAATGATGTGTCTATGGACAAGTATGTTGCTGATTCTGACAGCCAGGATCAAGTTATTGGGGATAAAAAGGGGGTAAAAGTCCAGAGTATCTTAGCAGAGCAGTTGGGAAGGAATGATCCACAGAATTGTACATTTGAAGGATCGGTCTTCATTCATTCCAATGTCAATTCTGGGATGAGAGTTAAGGACTGCAGATTGACACTTTATGCAAATTGGGACTCATGTAATTATAGATTGAAAAGGGCTGATGAATTTACTTTTGAATATCAGTTGGATAAAATCAGGGTGGTCCTGGATCTTAATACTCAGAGTATGGTCGTGGGATTGGAAGCTGTAGCAAATGGACAGTTGAAGCTGAAACAAGGCTTGAAAAGTGAATTGTTTTCTTCTAATGAAGAATCTGTCTACCTTCAAGAAAACCTACTTTGGAAGTTTTGCATGGATAATAGGCTTTCCTGTTCTTCAGTTGGGGGAAATGCAACTGGAATAATGGATATCCTTACCTACCTGCTAAAACCTTTGAGGTTTTCCTTCTCAAATAAGTTGGCTAATGAAAATGCTGAAATTTCAAGGAGTGAAGCAACTGAAACTCAAAGATTTGAGTTATATCCTGTAGCAAGAGCTATTAGCACATGGAAGAATGAGAAAGGGATGGTGGGTAAAGATCAGTACCAGCATGATCAAAGGCAGGGGCCTAATATTGATGATTGGAAGAAAAAGGAGCTAATGTTGTTTTTGCGAGAAGCAGTGAGAAGGAAGATTCAAGTCAAGAAGTTAAGGATCCTGACATTTGGAAGATATTGGGAAGGAAGGGGTGCAAGGAAGAAGAAGAAGCAGAAGATCTGGGCTGTTTCTTACCGACCACCTTGAGGGCAAGGTGGATCTTTAGGGGAGGAGTATTGTTAGGAACCCTCTTATATTAGACTAATAATAGAAGTATTAATGAGAATATTAGCAATGGGTATTTGAGGTATTGTATAGTATAAATAGACGGGAAGTTGGGAATAGTAAGGAGGCTGTTTTTAGACTTTGACTTTGGGACTTTGGGAGATCGAGAACTATTCTCCTTCTTTGGGGGGCTTCGGCTCAACTGGGGGCTTCGGCCATTTGTTCTGGTTCATCTTCAATACAGTTTTCTTGAATTGTTCCTCTAATTTCTGTTCATCTTTCCTGTAATATTTCTGTGAATCTGGGCATCCCTAACACCATCTCATTTCTCAAGCGTTTTTTCTTAGTATGCCCACACATCCTATGCAACAAATACATCATTGCCATACTCATCTTTTGAATGTGGCAATTTTCACCGTTCTTATGATTTATTGAGCCCAAGTAATGGCAATTTTCACTGTTTCTACCACCATTAAACTTGCACTTCATATACTCAGTTTTGCTTTGCCTCAGTTTGAACCCTTGCCATGTAGGATTTATTGTCGTAATTCCAACTTCGATTTAACACTTGATCTCGACTCATTGTCAACACAATATCGTCTACAAACATCAAGTGTCATTGTATATCTTATTCACTTGACATCATAAGTTCATACATGACTATGACAAACAAGAAAGCTCAGAGCACTCCTACAGTCAGGGCTGTCAGGTGCACTTCTATGGTAACAGGAAACTCTCCTGTCCTCTCTACAGTAATACCATCACTCATAGTAAAATCATCATCTCTCACACATATCCATATTGATGCTGTAATGAGTTGAAATAAATGGTCAAAATATCTTTCACTTATAAGCTTGTTGTAGATGCAGTAATGTGCACTTATTTTTGCCTGTTCTATATTGAATGATGTGCACTTTTGCAGACTACAGAGCATAAGAAATTGAGAGTTGATCACAACCATATATACTATTTAGTCTCAAGACTTGGATAAAGAATCTTTGATACATTGGATGTCAATATGTCGTTGATATATTGATGCAAACTTGTTCTAATGCTATAGTTAGGGTGATTCAGTGTTTTGCATAACGTTACTAATTTTATTTTTACATTTTGAATATGTTCAATACAATTATTTTCACTCAGGCAAGTATTTATGGCCAGAGAAAAAAGAACTGGGGAAATTGTTGCTTTAAAGAAGATCCGTATGGACAATGAAAAAGAAGGGGTATATATATTCTTTTTTGGTTATAATTCTGTTTCATATGCTCAAATCATATAGCCAAGCGCTAGTAGTTTATGTCTCCCTGCAGTTTCCCATAACAGCCATTCGAGAAATCAAAATTCTAAAGAAATTGCAGCATGAAAATGTAATCAAGCTGAAAGAGATTGTGACATCTCAAGGTACCTAGATCACCTTAGCTGCTGTATCCTCTCTAAGCTTGTAGGGCGGTAACTTTTTCACATTAACATGACAATGTAAACTTTTCTTGAAGGCCCTGAAGGAGACGAGCCAGTGAAGTCAGGTACTGAAAGATTACAAAGCTATATTTTTCTATTCTGTTTATGCAGTGCGGATAGAGGGGTGAGCATCGAGTGTATTCACCTTTGACCCAAAACCTAGAGTACAACCCGAAAGAAGTTCAGAGTCGGGTAATTTGGGTTGAGTTTTGTTAATAGGTCTGTCAAACCCAAAATTTCTTAATTACGTATGACATGGAATACGTTTCTGAGTGGATCGTAGCAGATTGATGATTTTTTAAATCCATAATTACGTATACACTAATGTGTTTTTAAGAGATTTTAAAAAATGAAAATTACAAATATGAGGAATTATCTGATTAGTTAATTTATAGTGCATTAGATTTTTTGTGTTTTGGGTCAAACCCGACATATAATTTGTAAACCAGAGACTGGAACATTGTGTCTGTACATTAAAAAAAATATCAGGTCAGATTTAACACACTTTTATTTGAACAGTTAAATTTGACTCTAAGTACATGACTTTGTTGTTCTTAAATTAAAGGGATAAACTATGCCTTTTATATTTTTAAAAAGTCAGGCTGGGTGTAACCCAGATTTTCTTGAAATTCAATGCTTACTATTTTTTTGGTTGAATCTGATAAAACATAAGGGCACACTTGCACCTCACCCATGGCTATCCCCATTCTGTATTTGTGGAGGCCAACTTTTATTCTTCTTTTTTATAAACTAATGACATATATGAATTAGACCTTCTTTCCTTGCGAACACAGATACGAATAAGTACAAGGGAAACATTTATATGGTTTTTGAGTACATGGACCATGACTTGACTGGCCTTGCTGATCGCCCCGGACTGAGATTCACAATTCCACAGATTAAAGTACTGCCAGAAAAGATAATCACGTTCATTTTCAATTGTTACATTTATTTGTATTTTCACTAGGAATGCTCTTTTCCAGTGTTACATGAAGCAACTTCTTACTGGCCTTCATTATTGTCATGTCAACCAAGTACTTCATAGGGATATAAAAGGTAACTTTTGTGGCACATTTAGACCAACATTCCTTTTAATATTCCTCCACAAGGAAAACAATGGCTATCTGAAGTTATTTTTCATTTATGTGTTTATTTAACAGGTTCCAATCTTCTCATAGATAACGAAGGAAACCTCAAGCTCGCTGATTTTGGGTTGGCAAGGTCATTTTCTGGTGATCAGAATGCTAATCTCACAAACCGCGTCATCACTCTGTGGTACAGGTAATTTCTGAATCTAATACCATCACGGTTTTTCAACTGCAGTTTACTGCAAACTCTTTGAAGTCAGAACAGGTTGTAGTTTTTACTTTTTAATCCATCTTATATTCTTATGGTTGTTAACACTTTGAACAGACCGCCAGAGCTTTTACTTGGAGCCACCAAGTATGGCCCAGCTGTTGACATGTGGTCTGTTGGTTGCATTTTCGCTGAGCTTTTATTTGGGAAGCCAATCTTACCTGGGAAAAATGAGGTTAGTCTCTATAAGATGTTCAGCGGAAGTTCTGAATATATGTTCGTTTTGTAGTTTTATTTAAAAAAAATATTCCAGGCTTGCAAGTATTTTATATACTCCCTCCGTCTCACTATATTTGTATTTGGTAATATTTATGTTGTTTTAATTCATTCTCATAATTCCTTATCAGTTGTGTCACTTCTTCTAGTCCAAATCTTGAGTGGGACGGAGGTAGTAGTACTGAGCATTTACTGAATACCGGTCTCCTTCTTTGCATATGTTTTGTAGCCTGAACAGCTGAATAAAATATACGAGCTCTGTGGAACACCTGATGAAGTTAACTGGCCAGGGGTATCAAAGATTCCATGGTACAACAAATTCAAGCCAACTCGGCCTATGAAAAGACGAGTCAGAGAAATGTTTAGACAGTTGAGTGTTCAAATATCTAAGTATATACAATTTTCTGGAATTCTTATTGATCTAGAGTTCTGACGCATTTGTTAATTATTTGTTTCATAACATTGTTCGTAATTGTGCGATGCAATTATGCCAAAAGGCACGCCTTGGTGATTTCCCCCCTAAATATGATCGAAGGTGTCTCCCAAATCGCGCCACGGTGAGGCTTACGCTGTTGTGGCATGAGGCACACTCCGTACACAATGAGGGGTACACTTTTTAGGGTTTAATGAAATTATTTAGGCCCACTTAAAATATTCAGTCAACTTATTTAAAAAATTCCTCTGCGGTAGACAATAACCTCTTAGACCTCTTCTGCAACAACCACTGCTCTTGTGTGATGTTTCTCTCTTCTTCTCATCTTCTGTCTTCTCTTCTTTACGATTCTTTGTTCTACCACAAGGTATGCTTTAGACATTTATTTATATTTTGTATGATAATCAAACTGATGTTTGTATTATATATTATATAGATGTTTGTTATTTTTAAAAAACTGCGATGTTAGATAAAAACTTCCACGCACTTGTCTTTTTTCTCATCTCTGTATTATCCTCTTATCAAGTTTTTTCTAAGTTTTATATATGTATATATATGGATATATATATATATATATTCTTTTCGCTTGAACATATATGTATGTATATTTGGATATAAGTTAATATATTCTTTTCTTTTCTTTTGAAATGAAACGACAGTTATAAATTTGTAATATTCTTATTATTAACAGAATAGTAAGCATGTCAGTATATTTCTCACTGTTCCATATTTTATTTTGCAATGGAATTTTATTCAGAAATTGGCCTCTATAGAAAGTAAAAACAATGTACATTTCCGAATTATATGTTATGTTCCCCTAAACAGAAGTAATTAGTGACTAATTACTGTCATGTTTGAAAATAATGCCAATTATGACATTAATACTTGCTATATTAACGCATGGTAATGTCAAAATATGGCAATATGATATCAGCATGATAGTAGCTTACCCATTTTAGGGAAAAACATAGTCCCCCTATTTTGAAAACTCATACTGTGTTTACTTATATTTTGGGAAATTTCACGATTTTATTTTATTGTTACTATGTAATTTGTTGACTTTTAACAAATGTGCGTGCATATATATACATAGAATTTTGTTCAAGCGAAAAATGTTTCTCAAGTGTAAAACAAGAACTAATCTTAGCCATTGATGTTAAAAAGAGGTGGAACAGATCAAATTTATAGTAAGAAATGCGGTAGCATTTTTAGTAATTACGAAAAATTTTAAACTGAAAATATTGTAACAAAAGTGTATCAGAATATACAAGAAGTGTATATGTAGAGCACAAAAGTGTATGAGAATACAAATTAAAATGTGCATAAGTTTTAAAAATTATGCACTTTTTAGCATTCTGCACTTTTATCAATAAATGATCCACTTCGTTATATAAATATTTGCACATTATTTTGGTTTCGTATGTTTAGATTAATTTTTTTATGTAACCAATCCATTTCCAAGGGATTAAAGGCCAAATTTATTCTCACTTTGCACGGGAGCACTACTTTTTACTTGCTTACGCCTTGGTTTAAAAAAGCGCGCCTCGGGCGCAAAGGCGCGAGGCGCGAGGCGCCTCTGGGAGATGACTTCATCGCATCTAAACATCCCAGGCGCAGCAGATTCCATAAGGCGCGCCTTTTACCTCGCCTAGTGCCGCCTTTTGCGCCTCTTTGAGGCGTCGCCTTTCACGCCTTATGGAATATGTCTGCTGAACTTCCTTCAAGCCTTTTGGTGATTCATCCTGCTCGATTTCCAGAACTTTTGTAGGGTATTATATATATGTAAGGTAAGGTTACTTCATTCCATCAACTTGAAGTCTCAAATCTTACTCTCTTTGTCGCAGATTGCCATTTATGTTTCTTTTTCTTCCATCTGTTTTTTTTTTTGGTTTGGCTGTGTATGTTTCTTTCTTCCGTTCTCTTTGTTGTCTTTCTTCCGCTAGTCTTTGTATTCTTTATATTTTTATTTTTCAAATAAATAAAATAATTCAAATTTTGTAAATATATAATCATTTAACAATCTTCCCTAAACCCTAATCCCAATCGGAATTTTATCAATTTTAAAAAATAATAAATATGGTTTGTCGAATCTGTGAATCTGATTGTTTAACTTTATTTTCTTGATACTTTATAAGTTTATTATATAACAATTAGTCAATTATATATGACAGCTTGTTGTTATTAATAATCTTTATATAAAAGTTTATTTAAAAATTTACTATTAATTGCTTAGGATCAGTATTAAGTATTAACCGTTTATTGTAAATATATTTACTATTAATAGAAGTATATTTTAGAAGAGTGCTTCATGTAGAAGTTGTATTTTACCAAAGATATGTGGTTTAGATCGGTGAGGCGTGCGCCTCGTCGCCTTGCGCCTCGGGTAAATCGATGCATCGCCTCATGCCGCCTCGCGCCTTTTAAAACTGAGGCTTACGCCTACACACACATTACATACATACACAAATACACACATAGATAAATTTGTGGGCTTACGCCTCAATTAGGCAATTTCGAACATTGCTTCATAGTGAACTTCTTTGCAGTTTTGATCGCCATGCTTTGGATCTTCTCGATAAAATGATGACTCTTGATCCATCACAGGTAATGAATTAGTTGGCATGATCTTTGTTCTGGTGGTATGCTCGCCGTAATGGTTATTGTGATTCCATCCTTTTTCTGCAACTTTAATGTATGCAAACTTCTGAAAAACTATGAAGATAACATTTGACTCGGTAACGAACATCATGTTTATTTTAAAGTTTAAAGGTTTTAAATTTTAAATTTGTACTATTCTTTTGTGTAATAATGTCTGCCATATGGGTGAAAAAAAGACTAGGAAGGGGTTGCTAACTACTCTGTTAACATTAGAGGCACGTCATAAGTTCAGATTTTGAGTTTCACAAACCTATGATACGGTTTCCATACTCTATTTTTAAACCGTTATCATTGCAATCTCAATTTGTGTAGAGGATATCTGCAAAGGATGCACTGGATGCTGAGTATTTTTGGACTGACCCTTTACCTTGTGATCCAAAAAGGTATTCCAAGTATTCTTTTTCGCTTTTGCTTCTCCTTGTTTGTTCTATTTCCATGTTAGGCCTAATAGTGTTTTTTGTACTTGCAAATATTGTGCTTTTGTTATAGGCCCCTTAAAGTTATACTCTCTTCGTTCTTTATTACTTATCACATATTCCTTTTTGGGAAGTTTTTTATTATTGGAAAAGGTTCAAATATGCCCTTTACTATTTCAAATTCATTACTTGAGCCCCTATACTAAAAAAGCATCACATAGGCACTTTTACTTTGAAAACACAATCAATGTAACCATCTTGGCCCGCTATATGCGATGATTTTTGAAAAATTATTTAATAAAATTTATAATAATTTTAAAAAAATATATAAATATAGAACAACATCCAAGTCTTAATCCCAAATGATTTTGGAGTTGGCTATATGATTGAAAAATGCGAAAATGAAAAACCAAAAAATAAAAAAATCCAAAAAAATGAAAAAGAAAAAATATAGAACTAAAATGTAAAAACTTTTAAAAAGATGTAGAATATACAGATAATTCCAAAATCACAAAGATGTTAAAAACTTTTACAATTGTATTTCTATTTTGTGAATTGAAATAATTTCCTTTTTTCAAAAACATCTACTATAGCAAGTCAAAAACTGCTTAAATGGCTGAAATGATCAATTTTTTAAGTAAGCGGACTTATATGATTCTTTTGAAGTACATGGGTTTAAAAATGCCTTCCTATATAAATGCCTTCCTACCATCACTTTTTACCTTCTTTTTATTTACTTCATGCAAACTACTCTCTTTCTCACTTTTTCATTAATTTCCTCCCCCACTCATGCAATTACTTTTCTTAATATGCTCTCATTGCAGATTAAAAAAAATGCTCTCATTGCTATTATTTATTACATTCCTTCTCCACTCACTTAATTACTTCTCTTATTACATTCTCTTTCATACTTTTTTATTTAAGCACAAGCCCCTACCGCACTCTATATTACCCCTACTATTTCCTACTAGATTTTACCGTGAAAAACCTAGTAGGACACTTGATGAAAGATGGAGAGAGTATTATTTTTTGATATTATTTTTTAACGTGACTCATAGACCTCCTCTTTAACTTTTCCATATCATTTTAAAAGAAGTAATGACACACACATGACTAAAATAAAGATGAGACAAAGATGTGACCTCTTATATAAACATACAAGCCTTAGTCCCAAAAGATATTGGGGTCGGCTAACATGAATCGCTACATGATATCACAACCAAAAGGAAAAGAAAGAAAATAAAGATAAAAAAGATAAGCTATTATAAAAAGATAATATAAAAAGAGATGAATATACATAAAAATGATAAAATAAAAAGGCTACAAATAATGCTTATATATATAAGGATAAAAAACAAGGAAAAAAAAGATGAGGGAAAAAGATTATACGAGATCACTCCTTCACGCGAATATCCGCCCTCCACTTAGTTCTCTCCAAAGTCATGCCCTCATCCAACCCCAGAAGAAGCATATCACTTCGAACTCCCCTAACCCACGTCTGTTTGGGTCTTCCTCTCCCTCTCTTCCCTGCCTCTTCTCCACACATTATATAAAGTGGTCATTAATAAAAATTCATAAAGGTTTAATACATTAATAAATAAAATATAATTGAAGTAGAGCATGTGAATAGTGTGAAATTCATGTGTTTTATTTGAGTAAATATTCTAGGAAACACCTTATCTTAAGAACTGCGTTCTATCTAATTTCCTAAGGGTATGTTTGGTAGTTTGGGGGGAAGGGGAAGTCTTTGAGGGGGAGTAGAGAGAAGGGGAGGGGAGGGAGATGGAAAATGATTCCCTCCTCACGTTTGGGAGTTACAAATTTAGGAGGAAGGTTTTGGGGGATTATAATTAAAATTATACACAAACCCTTTTCCATTGTACATATGATATCATGATATTTTATTATTCATCTCAAAGTTAAACTAGAAAAGAACTAAATAGATAAAACTAAATAATTAATATATAGATTAACATAAATCCATAAATAGATATAAGTCATCGTTTCTTCCTACCAAGAGTGAATGAAACATATACATATGGCACCATAGCGGCATAGCGCCTAATTGATAGCCCAATCACCAGAAATAATAATATGCAATCTGCGGAATATCATTTTTTTATTAATTAAATAATGCTAATGATCAGCGCCAGGGTTCTTAACTTCGTATAGCTGGCTCCAGTACTATTTAACCTTCAAAACCTCCCGATTTGGAGGAACTAAAAAAATCAGCTTTTGGAAGGTTTGCAAGGATAACAAAACACCTCCAAAACATCTCCTCCCAATTTTTTAACTCCCAAACACAAAAAGGAGGATCATCAACCCTCACATACCTTCCCCTCCCCTCCAAAATTCAACTCCCAAACACACTCTAAGGGGCTTATATTGCAATTTGAATGGTCAATTTTGCTTAGCTTTGTCTCATGTAATAGTCGCCGATGAGTTGTAGAACGTTGATGAGGAAAGACTAGATGGGGTCACAGGAGTGGAATTCTGCGACCCACGCCTTTTCGTGTTGGAGGGGGCCTTTAAAGCTCATCATCATCATTACCCCAGTGCCGCAACAGCTTCCACCTAAGGTGGGGTAGGGGGTCGGATGTACGGAATCTTATCTTTGTACTAAAGTACATAGAGACTGTTTCTGGATGACTCACAATGAAATTTGCGTCGAAAATTGCATGGAGTTTAGTGACAAAAAAGTGCAGACAGTTTAGTGAGTCATTTTGTTTTATTCCATCATATTCCCAAGCAAAAAAATAGTGAGTCTTTGGCTCCATTGCAAAGCTAATGACACAAATTACAAGAACCTATAAAAAAGTAATTCAACAGGATCATCAGATCATGTGACCAAGAACTCTTTATTTTCGCCTAATGGTTTTTGTTTTAGGATGTTCATCATAATCTTTGCTGAAGATTTTTTTCTGTTTAGCCTGCCAACGTATGAGGCATCACACGAATTTCAGACAAAGAAAAAGCGACAACAACAGAGACAAAATGAGGAGATGGCAAAGAGACAAAAAGTACAGCACCCACAGCAGCATGCCCGCCTCCCTCCCATCCAACCCGGACAAGCCCATCCTCAGCATTGGGCCGGGCCCAACAATCCCATGAACAATGCCGGCCAACCCACACTCTCAGCCGGTGGACCTGGTAACCATCAGTATGGAAAGTCTCGAGGCCCTGCTGGAGGACAGAACAGGTACCCTCCGGGAGGGGGGAACCCCAGCGGTGGATACTATCAAGACCGTGGAGGGCAAGGCACCGGAAGTTACAGCAGTGGCCCTTACTCAGCTCAGGGACGAGCACCTCCCTACCCGAGTAGTGGTGGTGTGGCCAACAGTGGTGGTCCCCGCGGGGCTAGTGGTGGTGGTGGGTATGGGGGAGTCCCTCCTCCAAATTACTCCCAAAGTGGTCAATATGGAGGTTCGAATACGGGCAGAGGTCCAAATCAAATGGGAGGAGGTACCCGGAACCAGCAGCAGTACGGATGGCACCAATAGAGATAGATGTATGAACAAAGTTAGGTCTTAAAGGCCAAAACAGTATTAGCTGGATCTGAAATTGAGAAACGGTAATTAAAATATCAAATGCTGCTGAGTGCAAACTACTTTTTTCGGTATTATTGTATGTATACAAAAAAGATAGTGCCAAACATTTTGAGGTTGATGACAACATTGTTTTGAATAGGGGTGGACTCGGGCCGAGTGGCCCGACCCGGGACCAGTACTGTTCCGACCCGAACCGGTGGCCCAGCCAGGGACCGGTCTGGGTAGGCCCGGCCTGGTGGTTTTACGGTGCGGGCTCGGGTCCCCCAAATAATGAACCAGCCTGGCCGAGCCCGGTTCCTAGCCATTTTTTGTTTTTTCAATTTTTTTATTTTTCTGGGTTGGGCTTGGTGTTTTGGGCCATTTGGGCTGGTTTGGGGGGGGGGTGGGGTGGGGGTGAGGGGGGGCGGGATTAGGGGATTAATTAGAAAATTAAAAAAAAAATAGGAAGTGGCTCGAGGCCTGGCCCGACCCGGACGCGCTGGCCACCCAGGCTGGTTTCGGTTCACACATTTTCAAATAAAAGCCCGGCTGGGCCCAGGCCCGACTCGAACCCGGACCTGGCCCGTCCCGAGTCCACCCATAGTTTTGAATGTGGAGGCCACAAGTTTGGATCTCTTCCTAATCAAAATTGACATTATTGGTGAATACTTATTATAAATATAGTAGAGCAATAGCAAAAATAGAAGTGAGAAATACCAAGTTAAACATGTGTTCTACGCGAATAACGAGTAGGCTAATCAGGTTTCAATTGGGTCATATGATCGCAAAATTAAGGATGTTTTCTTTTGGATTGGAATTTGTTGGTCTGGTCTGAATTGGTCTGGTAAATGTATGTTCTTTGTATATTTTATAGGTACGGAAGTCTGGTGTGGTATAGTCTGGCATCGAAACAGTTAAAAGAAAACATCCTAACTAAATTGATGTGTTTACTTAGCTAGGGGGGACCTGGTCGTTCGCGTTTTCGGTCCCAGACCAGCCGGTCCCAATCAGTGCTAGAAGAAGCTTGGGTTTGGCTTGGTTAAATTCGGGTCTATGTCGGTTCTGGGTAGTGATGGATAGGGACGGGACCGGGCTTCGGGACAGGATTGGGTGGGCTTCGGGCTTAAGGACCTGGTACCGGCTTGGGTTTGTACAGATGTCGAGTCGGGTCGGGCTGACCCATCCCAGATCATCCATAGTTCTGGGTACCCCGTATACGAACCTGATTCGATTATATTTTACTTTTTCATTTTCAAGGAAAAAAATGGTCAACGGGACCATAACTGGTCCGGAACTATCCGGTCGGTTCCCCAAAATTCATTCCCTAGATCGAGCTTGCATTTACCCAATTGGGTACTCGGTCTTGAATCGGGATTGAAAAAATGGTCTTGGTTTGGTCCAAAACAATGTCGAACTTGGTTTTGGATCGGGTTCACCCCTTCTTGTAGCATTTACTCTCTTTGTCTCTTATATTTTTATTAAGTTTGATCGGTTAACGAATTATAAAGTTAAAAGTATCAATTATCTCAGATTATAAAAGTATGTCGTACAAAAAATATCAATATTAGATAATTAAGATACTAAAATGTTACGGTTATATAAATTAAAAGTTAATGCACAATATTTAAATTTGAGCTGAATTAAAATAAAAGATCTCAAAAAAAGAGAAGAAAATAGTTAATGATTTTTTCTTTTGATAGAAAATAGTTAAGGGTTGAAAACCCAAAAAGTTAAAATGTAAACGGTAACCAAATTAATGTGCGGTTATCTTAAAGTAATCTAAAACAAGTAAAAGTTTAAAAATGAAATCCACTAATAACTCACTATTACTCTACAAGACAAAAGGGGGGGAACTTCCAAAATATAAACCCTCACGGACGTTTACACTCTGGCCTCTTTCTGGGGCTTGCCGCTGTCTTGCTAAACTACCTCTGCAGCGCCACACCGCCCAATCACCTGTTCATTTGTATTTTGCAAGTTTCTTTAGATGATTATCTTACATATTGCTTGATGTGCTACATCGAGAGAGATGTTTTTAAAAGTATTGATAATGAAACTAGTATGCAACATTTTCAGAATATGAAAACTCGTAGTATTGATTACCAAAGTTGCAGAAATGAACTATATAATACTCCATCCGTCCCTTAAAACTTTGTCATCTTTCCTTTTTGGGACGTCCCAAAAAACTTTGTCACTTTCCCTTTTAATCAATTATTTTATGGTTTCTGTTATTTCTCTCTCCTCTGCACAAACCTCAATTACACAGTTTTTACTTTATTATTCTCCATGCCGGTCAACTTTGGCAAAGTTTTAAGGGACGGAGGTAGTATGTAATTAACTACTCCGTATAATTTATGCCACTGCCTTACTTTTTACTATCTTTATTACATTTGTAAATTTTATTATAGAGTAAATTTAGTGTCTAGTGTGCCCCTGCTCTGACAAATCTCTGGATCCGCCACTGGTTGAGTTGTTCGAAGTTGGGGAGGGGTAGATCGGGGCTGGGGAAGTTAGGGAGGGGGGCAGCTACAGGACGGGGTGGCGGCGGTCACCGGAAGTGGTGGAGCGGAGGTCACTGGCCGGAGAGTGGATGTGCTTGGTGGTCACTGAAGTCACTGTCGGTCACGGTGACCAGACGGGCAGGCGGCGGCGGCTTATCGGGGCGACGTTGGTTATTGACTGTGGAGACGGTGGTGGTAGGCAGTGGCGTTGGCGGCTAGAAAATGTGTGACCAATGTTTGTAACTGCAACCCGTTTGGTCGCTAATTGACTGATTTGTCACTATAATTGACTGGTTTGTCATTGTAGTGGCCAGAAAAAATAGTCGCTGTAGGTTGGTTACGGACCAGCTGATTAAATAAGGGTGTAATGGTCTCTTTAGGTCTTTGTAGACTGTAGTCACATGTTTTGGAATTTTTTTAAAAATGTTTCTTTTTTGTTTATTCTTTACTTTCTAGTAATATTCATGTCATAACCCCTTTAAAGTTTAAACTTCTTATATGCTGGTTAATTTTTCTTATGCCTTGGAGTAATTTGTTCAAAAATTAGTCTAAAGTAACAACAACAAAAAATGATAAAAGAAATAGTTTATAATTATAACTGAATTCAATAAAAAAAGGATGACACTCCATCCCTGAGGGCCTCCCAATACCGACCGGACGGTACATTGGGGGGTTTAAATTGGACTATAATCACAATCTGACAGATAGAGAGTGAAGTGTTGTCCCCGGTACTTGTAGAGGCTCTATGCATTTTTTAGCATAGTAACCTCTCATCGACGATGTCGGGATTCGAACCTGGGACCTAACCCTTGTGGCACTCCCTCGCTACCAGTTGAGCTACGCCCACCGGTATAACTGAATTCAATGAGATAATGCTCCGTGCCAAATTTGCAAAGAAATTGTTGGAGAATTTGAAATTTTCACCCACCGGGTTCCAACCATCTTAACAAGGCATCTCATTGTTTTTTGCATTGATGTTTGCTTTAAACATAAATTCTTTGTATTTCATTATTGCATAGAAGTATAAAAAGTATTTCAAAATTTGTAAATCATTCATTTACATTTTGCATTTTACATTTTATGTCCTGTGCAATACACGAGTACCATACTAGTATCATTAAAAACCTATCGTTCATTGTGGTTCAAGTTTGATATTTTTTTCGAGATTAAATGCTTCCTCAATGAATTAATTTAATTTGTCAATTTGCACTATAAAGTTGATCAAATGCACTTTTGTTTGAAGTTTCACTCATCGTTAGTTTTATTACTCAATCATGTTTTACTTTCCAAAATAAATAATGCTCTGTACGTCATGATGGTTTGATGATTCTTTTTCTTATGCATCAATTCATGAGTGCATAGATAAATATTTATATTTTGTATATTTCATTGAAGTGTGGTTTTACTTATATTTATGCACTATATGCATTACAAAGTGCAATAGTTGAGATGTTATTGTTATAAGGTCAATGTGACATTATAATTAAGTTTCAAATTATCGCGAACATAATCTAAGGAAATAAATGGGAATAATTTTGGAGTGTTAGAATTGAGTATTCTTCATTATGTGAAATGGAAAATGTGCATTATCATAAATTAGAAAACATGTATTTCAACTGCACATTAGGTAAACCACAAATGTGCACATTTGAACTTTGCATTACTTTAACTATAAATATGCATTTTCGTGAAACATAATGCGCATCGTTTCAGAGCGTTTCATTTCTCATGTTAAGGAAGTGTTCTCACCGGACCACACACTATAATTGGTGTGCACAAAAGTTATATGAATCACAACATACACTTTTCTATATGAATAACTTTGCATTATGTAAACACTTTGTACCACATGAAATTAAATTAAATTTTTATGATGCACTTTAATGTTTGATTAAATGCATATCTCTCTTAGAATAAAAAATGACACATTAGTAACTATAAAAGTGCAATTGTTTTACAATAAGAGTTGAAGAGTGATAGAACTATTTTAACTTGCATAATTCATTACAAGAAGTGTAGGATAACATACGCGATTGGTGTAAAAGTGTATTATGCATCAAAGTAATATCATGAGGTTACTTGTGCATCAAAGTAACCTCAATAAATAAAATCAAATAAGTATTCACATTTCTTGCAAATTGTTTTTTTTTCAAATTCATTTTTTAGACAAAATATAGAATTGGTTTATTCCAAATTCTTTTCAAGTTTTCATTGTAGTGCACATCCCTTTTCATTGCAGTGCACATCCAATAATAAGATGTTTTAAATAAGATTGTATCTTAAATGTATACATGAGTCCACTTTGATTCATATTTTTGTGCAGATCAACATTTTCATATAAACTAAACTTGAAGAAATGGTACGTGACTTACACATAAAAATATATGTGTTATATTGTAGAAATTTATAAATAATAGTAATATAAGTTAGACTAATGCACTATCCTACAAAATATATTGCACCATTGTATAAACATATTGAAATTTTAATGTAGACCTTCATCAATACAAACTTCATCAATTAATTTTTAATGTAGACCTTCATCAATACAAACTTCATCAATTAATTTTTAATGTAGACCTTCATCAATAGAAACTTGATTCGAGAGTAAGATGCCCCAATAAACGATTCACAAGGTAATAGCCATGAGATTTGAAAGAACGAAAAATATTGGGAAAATTTATCAATGATTT